AATCAAATCAATATCAGCCTGCTCAGTCCCTATTTATTTATAAATATAAAGTAAATAATAATATAATTATAAATAAAAAATTTATTTATAAAAAAGTATTCTATTTATTATTTTATTTAAAGCTCACTCTACAGAGTTGTTAGATTACTATGGAAGCTTTTATCACAGATAGTTAATATTTGATTTCATAAAATAATCAAAAAAAAAAAAAAAAACTTAAAAGTGTGTAAAAAAGAATTTAGTGAGAAATCTATCATTTGTACTTTTTTTTAGCAGCAGGTTCACAACAGTTGTAGTGAATTACAAAATGGTCTTAACTTGGGTTTTTTTTTAGTTTAGAAATTGTTCGTTTAATGAATACAGAGAAGTAAAAAAAAGATATTAAAATAAATAGCAATAAAAAGATAAAGTGTGTTTGTAAGATTTTTTATGTTGTAGATACAACTAGATCAGCTAAGAGTGTTTATTTAAAGAAAGAGTGATCAAGTGCAAAAGATAAATTTACTCTAGTAATGATCAGAGATTTTTATCCACTTCTATTAACAAAAGGTGAATCAAAAATAAAAATAAAATATAGAAATTTTCAATATTAGAATATTTCAAAAAAGCTTAAGTTTAAAAAAAAAACGCTCGGTCCGGTCAAATATCAGAAACGACATAATGAGAAACTTTCAAACAGGGGCGCTGAGAACTTTTGCCCTGCCTGGGACAGCAACCCTGACTGACGTCCTTATTTTTATACATTTTTTCTATATTATTATTCAAGGACCTTAGTTTTCGTACCTTTTTTGTTTTATACCCCTGCTAATCTGAATGCTGATTAATTTTTAAGCATATATAGTGCCGATCTGAACGCTGATTGAATTTTAAGCATATATAAATTTTAGCTTCGGTACATCCCTAAAAAGAACGTTCATTATTTTTTATTATGTATGCAAAAATTTTCTATAAAAAGAAGAGTTTATTTTAGTAAAGAGAAATGAGTTTGTTTACTAGAGAAAAAGATTTTTAATTTTTATTTGTGTTGAAAGCGAGAAAGCTACATCATCTAGTACTTTTAGTTTTAATGTCTAAGTACTTTTTGTTTTAATGTCGTCTAAAAGTCGTTTTCATTTAGAATATTGTACTCTAAATGTGTCAAACGTGCTTTGTTTATTTTAATAACACTCATAAAATGGAAAAACAATGAACTATTTGTGAAAAATAGTCATTTCAAACACCCTAATTTTAATGTTTTAGACTAGAACAACAGAGAGCACTACACAATAAAATTCTCCAGACCTCAAACAAATTATGATCTTATGATGAAATTACTTTGCAGCTACGTTACAAAGATGTCCATAATAAAGAGGAGTTAGGGATAAATCTAAAAATCCAATCAACCTGAAGAGGCCAAAGGGCTCTTAATGTACTAATGTATGATGTATATCATCACATAGATTCTTATATAAATAAAACAAATATATTAACAAAGTTCAGTTTTATTGAACGTTATCTATTTATATTCACAATATCGAAGAAATTAAGTACATAAAATAAATAAAAGTTACAAAAATGTCTTGACAACCCATGACCACACCTACCTGTGCAATCATAACCACTTTTGGTGAACAAATATGGCTAGATTTAAATTGCTTAACATCAATTACCTATATTTAGACAAACAACTGTTCCATTAAAAACCACTTGAACATCCCAGGACCATCTTCAACCATCCCTAACATGACCACCTGCACGTTTATGACCACTCTTAGAGAGCAAATATGCCCAGATTTAATTTTCCTGATCTCAATTACTTATAGTTAGACATAGAAAATGTACCATCTAATTGAAAAACCATCGTGATATTCCAGAACCACCATTGACCACCCCTAAAAAGATCACCTGAGCGGTTATGACCATTCTGAAAACCGAATATGCTCAGTTTCACTTGACCACAATTATCTATATTTAGACAAACAATATGTTTCATCTAATTTAAAAACCATCAAGATACCCCATGATCATCCTTGACAACTAAATAACCATTTGTGTGGCCATGACCCTACAAAATTAAAATGGAGCCCAAAAATAAAATACTTTGCCCCAAAAACTTCGATAAACATGTGTCATATGTCTATATTTAAACCATTTATAGTTTTGCCATTTTTAGACAATTCTAACTCACTGTGCATTGGTTAGGAGGGAGGCGTGAACTTCCTATTAAATGCTCTTGCACGGTGCTTTGTGATAAGATTGTAAGGATTTCTTTGGACACCTAAAAACATAAAAAAATGTATACATGCATACTAAATATATACATAATCACAGATATAATTTATATTTTAGTAACATCATTTAAATATTATGTTATAGCTTGCTTTACTTATTTGTAATAGGCTTGCATCTTTATTATACTATATATTTCTATCAAACATACATGCATATTTTGTCTGTTATAAATATATGCAGAGATGTATTCAGATTATATTAGCTATATGAGTCATCCGAATATATCTTTGCATATATATATATATATATATATATATATATATATATATATATATATATATATATATATATATATATATATATATATATATATATATATATATACACACATATATATGGCGGAAAATACCTCAATTGGTCGAAAGGTCTTTTTGTTGCCCCTTTTTTTGGAACTGAGGGGAGTGTTCCCATTATGAAGTTTTTATTATTTTTAATTTTGTTGGTGTTTGACCAAGTAGAAAGACCTGTAAAAACAATTTAAAGCATAAATTTACAATATTTAAGTAATGAAAATAGAAAAATTAAAAAATGCGTTTTTAAAGCATATTTGTGATATATATCTTAAAATTTTTTTAAAAAAGAATTCTTTACATAATCATTTTTTTTTTTTGTAAATTGACCTTGTTTGATACAACAAAAGTATTTTGTCTTTTCCGCTCGTTGTGTGATTTATTGATCAAAACTTATAAAGGAATATTTAATATACTTAAATGTAGTAAGCTTGACAAATATTTGAAATTTGTAACAAAAATAACATTACAAACATAAAAAATGTTTAATTTAACTTCTTTTAGTGTTCTCTCATTGACTCATTTACTACTTCAAAATTATTTACAAGAGTCTTAAACCATGTTAATTAACTCATGAGTGGAATTAGAGTTGGTGGAGTATCATTAAATATAAGGAAGTTCAGTAAACTAAATTTGTTCTCTTTCAATGGTATAGTGTGTAAGCATTAGAGCTTAGTACAGCTTTTTTGCAATTTCACTCATTATTTGTACATTTTTGTCAACCAGAGACATACTACAAAAATTAGGTCTAAGTAAGATCTGTATCTTTTTAGAGATTTAATAACAGGTTTTGTCTGATCAGGTCTAACTATTGAATATCTTCTGTCGAAGAGCTTTGAGATTCGGAAAACATTTAGACTATGAAATACCCTAAAAATATTTCATGCAAACAAAAAATTAATAAAAAGTTAAACCAATATTTCAAAGATTGTATAGCGTAAAAATGGCACAAGATATGAAACAATAACATGAATTCCAACCTTATGAAACACTCAGTGTAAAACACAGCAGTAACAAATTCTTATTTCCTATTTCACTTTTCCTAGAATCAGTTAGCCCAGAATTGCTGCATAGAAGGAAACAAACTTTCAGAAAGTTTAGACTCTTTACAATAAATCTAGTATGACATTCAGGCCCAGGCGTTCTTAGTCTGTACTATTCATCACCAGACAACGCCATTGTTCTCAAGTTTGCTAAATCTAGATAATGTTCGCACCTATCTTAAATAACACAATATAACTAAAAACAGAACGTTAAGAAACTTATTTTTTACTGAGTATTCATTATGCTCAGATTTTTAAATGCTTCTTCATTTTTTTTGTTTTGATAATGTTTAGAGAATACAATAAGTCTTTCTTAAAATGGAGCCAGAAAAAACATCTTCCGTTTTTATTTTTAACACTACAGAATTTCTATTAGTTAGTTCCATTTTTTTCAGGTTTCTTAAACAAATAATTATTTGGAGCATTTGCATTACTAATTTAATAAATGTTCCATTAACGAATAATATATATTTCATCAATGTAATGTCTACATGTAAGAAGATTTTTAAGTCAAATAAATATTAAATTACTTTATTCAAAATTAATTTTCAAAATATATATCAACTAAAATATATTTTGAAAAATAATTTTGATTTTTAAATACTGTGTATTGATATTATATTTTACTTTAATACGTATTATGAATTATTATAATGGCCACTGTCCTTGTTTTAGCCACGCCTAATCAACTAATATATATGAGTTATTGTTTTATCGTCGCGTCCATTTAATTTAATAACGTTTATAATCTATCGCTTTATATATTCTTTCTTCACCTCTATACAAAAATCTTTTTTCTATATATATTAAATTAAAAAGTCCCATGAGAATATACTGTTAATTACAGTTGAAATAACTTACGTAGATGCGTGACTTTCAACACGCATCTACGTGATTTCTAACACGTACAATTCACCAACATAATAATAGAACATGCCCTCTTAGTGAATTAACTCATAAGTCTAATCTTTGTGGGGGCTTTACTGTTCGTCCGGAGCGTGTTACTTGCAGCACGTTGAATTCTTGAGAATCATTTTGAACTTGAGCGACATCATCATTATAACTTCCTTTAACGTTATCAGTTTTATCGTTTAGTCTATAAAAAACATCGTTGACTGATTCATTTGAACTCTGTACGTCTGTACGGCGACGCAGGTGTGAAATGTGACGCGGATATATCCGATTCGCAGTTTCCACGTCAAACGACAAAGTATTTTGCTTTCGTACTACGCCTGGTATCCACGGCTGGTCACATTTTGTTTCTTGAGTTGGTTTTACCCAAACACTGTCACCCACTTTGAGTTTCTTGCTTACGCCTTTCTCGTCTACCTTCCTCCGAGTATCGACGCCTGGGATTAAACATGTCGATCTTTTCTTGAATTGCTTGGATGGACTTTCAGTACAATTGGATGATATTGTCTCGTTGTTCAGCGACTGCCAGAGCAATTGAACAATGTAAGCGAGCGACCGTTCTTTTTATCGTTCTGTGTATACGTTCAACTATACCATTACCTTGAGCTCGATGTGCTGCTCTATATTCCAAATTAACATGCCATTCTTCAGCAAAACTTGTTAACGTGTTGGACCGAAATTCGTTGTCCATTAGAAGACATACTGGCGGACCAAATAAAGAGAATATTTCTTTGAGTCTACCAACAACTTCAGCAGCTGCTTTAGTTACAAGTTTACGCCATATTGTATACCGTGATGGACCACAGTCAATCATTGATAAGTACAGTTCAGCACCTACATGCGTCACGTCAATGGCAACCCGATTCCAATTTTTTTCTACGCTTAGTTGGCCATTCTTCCACTTTACGGAGTAAGGATCAATGGAGTTACACTGGTTACAATTCGCAATTACTGCTGAAACCTCCTTACGTGATACATTATGATTATTTCGCAAGCAAAGTTGTAATGTTCGAGCAACACCAAAATGACCAATTGAATGAATTTTCCATATGTCTTTTTGTTCAAGTAATCCAGCTGCACACACTGTTCTGCACCATTTTTGAGGGATTCGCGAGAGTCGATCAGCCAAATTTATCTCAGATGGAATCCATTGTACTGCGATCTGAATATCTTTTGCCACTTCCTTAATAGTATTCAATCGTCTTTGTACTAACAATTGAGAATTTCCCCGAGCTTTTACGCAATATTCTTCCTTCAAAACTGCGTTTAACCATCCTACGGTGCTCTTGCTATCACTGTATACTGTTAACTCTTTTATGCCCCACTTACTAGCTAAGTTTTGTCCTCGAAGTATAGAATCCAGTTCACTTATATTGATATGGTGTGTCACTCGCTGGCCGTAGCCATGCTGCGTCTTCAACAACTACTCCACCAATGAGCAGAACTACCTTAAGTCCTATAGATGATGCATCACAATAAAGCTCAGCTTTTCCATTAACTGGTACCAGCCATTTTCCACCAACCGGATCCTCTTTTTCCACACGGTAAAGCAACTCTTTCAGTTTTTCTTTACAATCTTCAGAAATAAAATCACACCAAGGTATATTTCCAGCTAAACGTTTGATGTATGAAGCTTGTAAACGCAAATTTCCTGCCACTGGGTAATGTCCAATAAGTTTGCCAAACTGGCTGAAAAGCTGTGATCGTGTGACTGCATTTAAAGATTCAAATTGTACCACATTGTCTCGTTTCCATATCAGTTCCCCATTTTTATTTCTTTCGACTCTCAATCCTAAGACACGTCCTTGTTCAAGATCTTGTGGAGGTTTACATTGTAATCCGAATTTAAGCAGATGCTTCGCTACATTTTTCGCAGTTTCCACACTTTCATCCACAAATATATCATCAATGTAGTTATCACATGCTTTCTTTACGGTTGGATTTAAATTGAGCACATGCCGAAGAATTGTGCTCATTATTGTTGGAGCCACATTGATGCCAAAAACCATCCTGGTAAAACAATACCGTTGCCCATTTATAATCACCGTTTGATATGGCCAAAGTTTTTTATCAAAATGAATTTGGAGGTAGGCTTTTTTAAGATCGAGAATTTTTGCATTTTTTATTTTTCTCCAGCAACGCAGTTTTTCTTGACAAACGTCTGCATTTGCCGTATGACAATTTACAAATTCGTTGAGAGCTCGGAAATCTCCCACTGGACGTACCTTTTTGTCTTTGTTTTCTTGCACTACGCACATAAGCAGTATTAATATTTTTGGTGGTCCCAATATTTGTTCGTTATATGGTACAAGAATACCATAGTCAATCCATTCACGTATTTCTTTACGGTAACTACGTTCGTGCTCTTGGTTCATCTTGTATTCACAAATGGTATTATCAATTACAGGCTCTTTATTCCAGTTCCATGATGCCGTCCATTTTTTTTTTCCGTCGAACTTTGCTGTGAAGTCCTGATGTTTTATTTCGTTTCTTTCGTTCTCTTCATTTCTTGTTGTATTTTTGACATCACATTTTATTTTTTGTACTTCGTTTTCGCTTTTTCTTGTCGTATTAATAACATCAATTTTTAATTCGTTTATTTCGTTTTCGTTTTTTCTCGTCGTAGTAACGGCACCACATTTCGCTTTGTCACATGCTAACATTCGGACGTTACAGTTTTTATTACCATAAATGATAACTCCTCCAAATTTTTTAATTGCATTCATTCCAAAAATCAAATCAAACTCAAATGGTTTTTCTTTTACAACCAGAGAATTAACCATCCGGTGTATTCCATCAATTTCCAGATTGATTACCATTTCACCCAGCACTTGCACAGTTCCTCCCAAAGTTGTTATAAGTTTTTGACTTTTTAACACAAGCCCATGCGCGGACTCAGCATGAACCACAGTAATGGAGCATCCAGAATCAATTAATGCTGTTCGGAGTCTTCCATTTATTTTCACTTTTAATGATGGCAACGTCATTTCTGGGAGAATACTGGATGCCATTATTTCCAGATTCTCCCTTTTCCTTTTAAACCTTGCAATCGTTTAAAGCAGTTTTTAGCTTGATGATCGTGTGAACAAGTCTTGCATTTTTCTTCGCAGTCCCTTGCAAAATGTCCAAGTTTTCCACAATTGAAACATTTAACTTTGTTTATGTCGGACGAACCAGACGTCCGTGAAAGTAACGATGTTGCGCCAATCATTACATTCTCGGAACCATCTAGTTGTCGAGCTTCCTGGGTTACTCGTTAAAGGGTAACAGCTATTTCCACAGCCTTTTCAAAAGTTAGTTCTTCCGATTCCAGTAGTAACCGTTTGATTGTAACACCATCGTTAAAACCCGTGATGAATTGGTCGCGCACTCGATCATCTCTATCCGTGAATTTGCATCCTTCAGCAGCTCTTGTAATCCGTCGTGAAAACTCCGTCACATTTTCGTTACTTGCTCTTTTTATAGTTGCAAATTCAAAGCGTAGTATTAACGATGACTTCGGTTTAAAAAGCTTCATGATGTTTTCCTCGATGTCTTCGTAGGTAACTGAGTCATCTTCAGGGTATGCAGGCAAGCATAGATCTTCTAGTGCGGAATAAATCTGTGGTGGCAAACATGTTAATATTACTGTTTTTCTTTTGGATTCGGGTACGTCCATCGCAGTTATGTATGTTCGTAGTTGGCGGACGATCGTCGCGTCCATTTAATTTAATAACGTTTATAATCTATCGCTTTATATATTCTTTTTTCACCTGGATACAAAAATCTTTTCTCTATATATATTAAATTAAAAAGTCCCATGAGAATATACAGTTAATTACAGTTGAAATAACTTACGTAGATGCGTGACTTTCAACACGCATCTACGTAATTTCTAACACGTACAGTTCACCAACATAATAATAGAACAGTTATCCAGTATTTTTTATTCTTTAGGGAATTATTTCAAGTAAATCTTTATTTATTATAGCTGTTATTTTTTATGATAATTTATTTAATTATCATAAAAAATAACAGCTATAATAAATATATTATAGCTGTTATTTTTTATGATAATTAAATAAACTATAATGATAATTTATTTAATATAGTTTAAACTACAATAAATTAAATAAAGTTCAATGTTTTGTAAGAAAAAAAACAACATTTTAGAAGTGTATTCGTTAAAAGCATTCTTGAAGCATCTGAAATTTATATATAAAAATGAATACCATCAAGATATGAAGAGACATTTTTTTTTCCTTTAATTTTAAATTAAAATAAAGCTTCCAAATTAAAATAAATATAATATTCGCTGATGATACTAATCTTTTCTTATCCCATACTAATATTTATGAACTCTTTTCAACTACAAAAAAGGAACTCGATAACATTTTTAATTGGTTTAAAGCTTATAAATTATCTTTAAATATTAACAAAACAAAAAAAATTTTTCTCTCCTGCGCAAAAAAAACATTTCTTACCAAATGATATACCTTAAATTTATATTGATGAAACTATACAAAAATACTATTGTCGTTTAATTAAGCTGTAAAAAAAATTAATTACTAATAACACCTAATTTAAATTTGTTAGAAATTTTAATTTCTAACAAATTTCAGAATTCAATTTTAAAAAGTTTGTTTTATAAAACTACGAAAATTTGGTTCATTAAAAAAAATTAACTCGGTTGTTTGTTTGTTTTTTGTGTAAGTTTTTGTGTAACCTGGTGGGAAATGAGTTAGCGACTAGCGAGCGACTAGCTAGCTTCATAGCGATTTTCAAGCGATTTTTTTTTTCTGATTTTATTCTTTACTAATGTCTCTAAGATCTTTAAAAATTCGATTTTTAGTGTTGAGTCTATTATAATTATGAGAATAATTGAACTTTAAACATTGCGATTTTGTAGCAATGTGTCGCTAGCTACATATCGTAGGTTTGTAGCTATCTACAAAATATCTACAAATCTATAGCTGGTTGATAGCAACATACCAAAATTTTTTTGATAGCGATTTTATTACGATATGACGGTAGCTATAATAGCCTGTGAGTCTTTAGCTTATTAAGCTAGCTGTCCTCGTAGCCAAATCGCTGTCTTTATCTTTACAAATATCGATAGCTTTTCGCTGACTTAAAAAAGCTAGCGATCCTCGTGGCCAAATCGCTGTCTTTATCGTAACGATTATAGCTAGCTAATCGCTAACCGATTTCCCACCGGGAAGTTTAGCGCAACTCGTGCGCAACCTTTACGGAAATGCTGCGAAACATTGGTGAGCACTAAATAGTTACAAAAACAACGCTGACATAAGGTTTCCGTAACCCTAGTTGAGTAAGAGTTAGGAAAGTTTGGTGAATACTCACCTTGGAATATATTTCTAATTTAATGAAGCACTCCACGTAAAATAGAATTATTTTTGCTATTTATAGAATTTAAACTTTAAACTTCATTGGTACCAAACTTTAGCATCGCAGCAATAAGTAATAGTAAAAGAAAACATTTTCGGCTCTTTTCCCATCTACTTTTTAAGTCAAAACCAAAAATATTTCAAGTTGTAGTAATTCCTAAACGGATAGGAGTTTTTTGAAAAAATATTTTTTAGTTCTTAAATTAAGATAATAAATATTTGTTTTAAATTTCAGCAAACTTGGTGATTTTGTGTTTTTTGAAATATTTTTACCCCTATGAGTTATGTTTAAACTTTTTTACTAAGTTTAAGCAGTATTTTTTTCAAAGTTTTTTTTTTTACTTTCAAAATGTTTTACGTCATATTTATAAATCGCCTTATTTTTATCAGTTCTTGATTTTAAATACTTAACGTACAGCTTTTGCTCAACTTTGGAAGATTAATACAATTTCTTAAGTAATTCATGATGACTTAATACTCTTTTTGTTCAATTAATTTCACATTGTGGAAAGTTTACGTCACATGCTTCAAAGACTGCTTTATCAAATAAGTTATAAACTATATTTGCTTTGGATAAAAATAGTTAACTGTAGTAACATTGTAGTAACGATAGCTGTTCATTAAATGAGGGATTTGCTTCACTAAAGTTGCGTTTAATGGAAACCCAATTTTGTTTTATTATTAATTCAATGTCAGTATTTACTGAGAAAAAAAAAAGAAATCGTATCAGAATTCACTATCATGTTTGTTTGTTTTTTTATCTCATTGATGCGTAGAATATTTCTCCTTGATTGATCCTCAATAACTTTATATTTCACTTTGTTTCTAAAAACGGTATCTTTTGATCAGAAATTTCACTAAATGTTTTTGTTGTTGGTTATAATGTCTGCATCAAGTTTATTCGACGAAAAAAAGTTGCATTCAAGTTCCTTGTGTGGCAAGCAATTTGTAGCTGTGGTATGCAGATCCACATCAAAAAATGCCTCCAAAAAAGACTTTTGCCATTTATGAAAAAACGCAAATACCGATGTCTCTTTTAGCCCAATCTTGCTGCTTTTCACGATTCTAAAAAATTTATAAAGTGGTGCGAAAATAAAATAATGTAAAAAATTGTTCATAAAGATGCGAATCCTCCAAATCGTCCTGAAGAGCGCAATATTGAAGATTTATGGGCAATAGTTAAAGGAGTTCTTTGTAAGAAAGCTGATGTAACATAAAATAAAAATGCTAGCATCAACCCTCAAAAAAATTCAATCTTTTGTTCATTCATCAAGCTTCTTAAAATTAAGTTGAAACCCTAATTTATGTAAGCATACCTAATGTTAAACAACTTAAAATTAAATACATTTATGGTTTAAGAGAAATCTCAGTTTAAAGTTGATCCGTGACCACCTAATATTAGGAACCTGTCTGATGTTTAAGGTTCAAAATGGGACACTTCTTGTAAAGCATTTTTATTTTTTACAACATACAGTTTCATACATGAATTGGCAAAAAAGTATGGTTTATTGTGATGAAATTTATATATTTTCACCCCAGTCTTATATATATATATATATATATATATATATATATATATATATATATATATATATATATATATATATATATATATATATATATATATATATATATATATATATATATATATATATATATATATATATATATATATATATATATATATATATATATATATATATATATATATATATATATATATATATATATATATATATATATATATATACACGCCCCAACGTTGGTGATTGCAGTGCATTCAAAGGTAGAGGATCACCATTCAATCAGTACTTAATTCTAATTAATCATAATGGTAAAACATTTTTTTTTACCTATTTTACACCCATGCTTTTTAACGCGTTGTTAGGTTTGTATTTTATACTTATAGAATTAACGATATTCATATATCCTGCTGTGACGCAGGTGGTAAGTAGTTTTAAATGTGTAACTATGTGTTATATTAGATTTTTTTACTTATACATATCGACACTATAGATTAATTTTATTTAAATTTGCTTAACATTAAATAAAGGATTATTGCGCCTGGTTCAGAAGCGGAAAATCCAGGTGCAGGCAACGTATTATCTATTTCTCCTTTAATTTTATCTGAACTGTCATTTTTTATTGTTTTTCCTACAATTTTAACTATTATTTTAGATTTACATAGTCTTGCTAACTCATAGGTTATTGTTTCATTATTTGCTAAGGATAACTAGAGTGCGTCATGGCCCCCCCTTCCTTGAGCAGCGCATACTTTTAATCCTCTTCTTTTAAATAGTCTTTACATTCGTTGCTGGTTCTCACTCAATGACACTATTTACAATCTGCTTTTAATATTACATTTTCCAGATTTACGTAATTGGACGATTATGTTGGCACCGATGGTTTTTGTGATCGTTGTGTAGCATAAAACGATTAGAAATAATATTAAATTTCTATTTTATGTAATTCAGTATTATTGGGTAAGTTTCTGCAATAAGTTCAGTAAGTGATGAATGAATTTAGGCCACAATTGTCCCAAACAAGAGACAACAAGTTAATAAAATATTTATTGTACTATTCTTAAATAAATTTATATTCATTGATAAATTCTAAGTTTCGTAAAA